ATATTAATTGCAAATTAGGGCCAAAATAACCAAGAGGAGGGTGTAGCGGATTGCTACTTTATTAAAGTCTGTCTGACTCAGAAATCTCTATGGCAGATCCTCCTACATCTAGTTAGACTCCCAGAACCAGCTAAGCTATAGCCCAGCTATAAAGGAAACAGACGTGTATCACGGAGCACGTTTATTCAGGACGTATCTTGCGGATAAGTGTACACGCAGGGCGCTACTCATGATCAGGATGGGGGATTAGGTTGAACAGAGGTTGATGATTGGTCACTGTTTGTACGGTCGATGCACACAGAGTTGTACGGCCGCACCTCCCAAGCCTGGTGAGCAGACATGCAGGCATGCTATGACGCACACAGCGATAATATGTAACACAAGGGCATTTTCCAGATTTAAACAAAATATTTTAAACGAAATAGTTGCTAAGTTTCTATTTTCAACCATCTTAGAAATAAATAAATACATTCATAAATATACATCTAAATCGATGAATGCTTTTAAGACTGCCTTCATTGTTCAGAATATTACCCAAGTCTTGGTGGCATTCATGACCAAGTAAGCTGAAATTCAGTCGGATGTAGAAAACTCCATACATAATGCCTCTGAGCGCTTATTGATCGAGCCTTTCCAGTCGTCCAGCTCAATTTGTTTGTCTCAAATCCGAAATCATGTGAACCCCCCTTTATAAACACGCTCTCAAACCGCTAGACCAATTCTGCATCTTAACTCTGAGTTCTATGGAGTAATTGAAAGAACGTGATCCATCAGTATTTATTGACCAAATGAAGGATGTCATGTCAATCTTCAAGTGTTTCTCTTATCAAAGCTTTGCTAAAGTATTCTTATTCTATTTTTATATGCTTCTTCTAAAACAATAAAGGTGCCTACGAGAGGGGAGTGTCCAATGCACTTACAATTTACATAACAAATACTGTTTGCCTAAGATAAATAGGTTACGAAATCGGAAATAGTATTACTGATTGAAGAATTAACTTTTACTTGCATTACAGTTACAAATTTCACTGTTTAACAGGGGATGAAGTTAACCCGCAATGTTCTTCACAAGTGCTGACAACCTTTAAGGGTAAATGAGTTAGTAAATAAACACATTCCAAATTTATATTTGTCAACTTCTATCACCTTCAAGTCGGGTCTCATGGGATAGTTGTTTACGTGCTCATATCCATTGGTGTTTATTGTCAACAAGTGAGAAGTTGGCTGCACAGTGGCCTTCCGTTCACGTAACTTTTCTACACCTGAGTCAAGCTCTATTGGACCTCTATTAACACTCTATCAACCTCAAGTATGTTCCTTTAATATTCATTTGTGTGAATCGGTTGTGTTTTGTTATTAAGGAGCCGATTTCAGTGTCTCCCTAACATAAATATTCGAATAGAAAAATATTGCTCTCAATTTATTGTATACAAATTAAAAAATCTTTTGGCAATAGAAGCGCTAAATCAAGCCTCCGACACAAAATACATCTCAATCGATGTCTGAAGTCCTAGTTCTGTCGCATATCTTCTCACACAAAGTGAAAGATTTTACAGAAGTTAACTTCTTCCCTGAAAAGAGATGGTATTACCGTTGAAAAGATGCTCATATATAGCTGTTCACTGAGCCGTAACCGGTTGTCAGTTAAAAGGATAATCGATCATAAATTTGGAGTTAAGACTTAAATACGTTCTACTTAAAACATCTCAGTAGTAATTCCTTCCAAAGTATTTTTCTATTTCTTTTCATAAATCTATATTTGAAAAATTGGGGTGTGTGATAGACTTACCTCCACGCGGTGCACCCTGGTCAACGTATACTCATACGGCAAAAAAATCTATTATTCGGCAGTTGACTTCCGACTTCAAAACACCATCACCTCACTGTATGTCATATTCGACTACTTCCACAATACTCACCTCACCTTTTTCACTCTACCTTTGTGTCTCTCTCTTTTAAATCTTTGAAATACTCTTCTGTTCCCCTCCCCCTCCCCCTCTCGACTTTTTTCACTTTGATGTTCCTTCTTCTCTGTGAAGCCTGAAGTCAACTAAAGGGCTTATGATAACTATCAAAATGCCTGCCATTTGATATAAATAAATAAATAAATATTTGAAAAATTAGATCATACTTTACCTATAAGTCAGTAATTAGTGGATGTTTGAATTGATCGAAGGAAATTCCGATTTGCTGAAATTTGCAATCGATATACCTAAGACAATTTTGAGTTGTTTTGAGTGCTTTTGTAATATTTAGGTTGCTGATTTCAGGCCTCATTAAATTCCCGTTGCTTAATTTTAGGAGAAGAAGCCAATATTTAAAACGTCCCAGAGATTATTAGCTTAAGCTCCATTAGTGTAACCATTGGAGCCCCACAACGTTGTTACCGCTACACAAAGTAATCTCATGCTCATCCAAACGGCCTCGAAGTTGTGGTCGTGCAACTTCGCGTAGGGGGCAAGTGCGGGCGTAAGCTCGGAGAACACACAGCCAACCGCCATATCAATGTTTATTTATTTATATCAAATGATAAGCATTATGATAGTTGTCATTAGCCCATTAGCTGACTTCGGGCTTCACAGAGGGGAGGAACATCAAGGTGAGAAAAGTTCGAGAGGGGAACAGAAGAGTGATTCACTGAAGTAAAAGAGATAGGCAGGCAAAAAGACAGAGAAATAGGTAAGGTGAGGTGAGTACTGGGGATGTGTTGGATATAACACACAGTGGGGTCATAGTAGTTTGAAGTCAGAAGTCGACTGCCAGTTTATTGACTTCTTTGTGGTATGGGTATACGTTGCCCAGGGTGCTCCACGTGAAGGTAAGTCTATTGCACACCCCACCATATCGACTAAACTCCATGCCCGTAAGTAAACCACAAATATACACACCGCCTATGCTTGTTCCACGTGATATGTCTGTTTCCTCTATAGCTTTCAAGATGCTTAGCATAATTCTGGGAGTCTTTCCATACATGGGAGAATCTACCAAAGACACTTTTGAAGTATAGTCGAAGCCTATTTGTGTAGCAATCCGCCACAAGTTCCTCTGAAATGGACGAATAAACAATTCAAACGGCCATATTGAGCATGTAAAGTAAGTCAAGTGAATGACATGATTAATCTCTTCCTAACTGAGGAGTGGTTAAACTGATGTGGACTATTACCACATTTTAACTAACTCTTCCTTATCAAATTGAGGGAGTATTATGTAAACTGAAGTTACTACATCAACCCTTAAGGTATAAGAAATTCCATCAATAGAATTTATTGAAACTGTATGTCTATTTATTAGACCATATTGGTAGATCTAAATATCTAAAACCCACCTTAGACTCGATGACACGTTGACGTTCCCCTTGTATTTTGTTTTGAAGCCTCTCGCCAAAACAACATTTGATTTTTTTCCTAACCTAAATTGTTTCCATAATGTTTTTAATAATCAAAGATTTCGAGAATGTTTGCTTCCCTCGTTATACGAATATTTTCCTTTAAGTATATGTAAGTATTAGACAACATTTCTCTTATACTTTTATTGGTTCAGGGTACACCTAATTTTGTGATATAGAAATGTGTATTTTGCCTAGATGGATAATCCGAAGAACTTTACCGCCATAATACTTGTTAATTACTAGAAAATATAAAATCTCTGATTAAATCGATTAATTGGGTAGTTATACAAACATATCGTTATTTGTAGTCGCCTATCCATAAAGGTGTCCAAAGTGGATCGAACGATTTCTGCCTTCTTCTGAGATGAAGTATTATAAAATATTGTTTCTATTGCTCTATTTTTTCATTTTATAAAATATTTTATTATGTATATATGTATATATACTCGAGTGACGTCATTAGTAATAGTCATTCTAAAATAGCAATTCCGTTTATCGAAATATTTCGTTCATTCATGCTGATTGATCTTTAATTTGTTGACGCAAAAAATTAGATAGGCTCAAAGTATGTTCAAATTTTTATTAAGTTCAATTCAAGGATTGCTTTTAGTAAATTTTTGAAAGACAAGTTGTTAATGCAATTACACCTCACACTTATTAATTCATTGTTGCTTTCATTTTCTTCAATTTAGGTAGCAGTGATTTGAAAATGAGCACTGACGAACTGAAGTTTATTAAAAATGCTTTGAAAGATATCTCGAAAGGCAATTTTGGCCTTCCTTTTAGGAATCCAGTAATGGGCGTGCCGGTAAAAGTCCCCTTTCAAGTAATATAACCCTTCATAGCACTACGATTTTATCATCAAGAAGAAAATGGATTTTAACACCATCATAAAGAATATAAATACAAACGCTTACAAGAGCAGTAGAGAATGCATTGACGACATATTTTTAGTCTTTACCAACTGTTACATCTTCAACCCACCTGATGCCGATATTGTAAGCATAGCTCGAATCTTAGAACACAGATTTCGTGACAAATTAGAGCGTATGCATGAAGTGAAGACACGGTGTGTAAAGCCGAAAATCAGATCGAAATCTAAGAATAGTGAAATGGGTACTGGAACTAAAGAACTTAGTCAAGAAGTTGGCATTCATGGTGAAAGCCAGATAGCTGTGAAACAGGAAATGGAATTCACGGAGTCAGATTTATTGATTATCAAAGAAAAAGCCCACATTTTAAAATGCGCAAATGGGCTATTATCGGAAATTTTAAATGGCTTGGTGATTCAATTTGATGCATTGTCTACTTCAGTGAATAGATTAGTTGATTTGATCGATAATAAGAGCGAAGGTAAGGGCATGTTATTATTATTCAAAATACATTTTTTAAGGAGAATCAGATGTGATTGTGAAAGATGATGAAGAAATGCAACTATCGGTGAACGAACAAACTTTTTCACAAGAAAATGAACATCTATTACGAATTGTATCCAATCTCAGTGAAGAATATGAGAACGCCGAGCAGGCGTCGTCCTTTGAAACCCAGCAAACTGGCTTTTATTATAATGACCTTTTGGAGGACTTAGAAATAGGCCATTGGTTATCTCCTATTGGAAGTGATAATGAAAATATAAAACCATAGTGGCTTTCAATTCATTTGACATATGGCGCCGATTATTAACTGATCATTTATTGTTTTTTATATCTTGAACGATCGAAAATAGACATAACCCGTATTTGTATTAGAATTGTGTTGATTTTCTTTTCTATTGCTACCATTTTGGTTTTAACATTCTACTTAATCTTGTTATTTTTTAGCATTTTTTTCAGATTTTTATGATTGACTATGTAAAGGGCAGTTTGAATGAAGTTATTGAAAAGATGACTGGCCTTTACAGAATTTCTTCAATTCTGTCATTAACTACTGCCAGATGCAAATAAGTTTAAAATGACTATATATATATATATATATATATATATATATGCTTAGTTATTGAGTTATTTCCTTGGAAATATCAGTAAGCTTTAACTGAAGCCTATCCCAGATGTTGTTTAATAAAAAATTCCATGTGTACTAATTGTTTCAGAAATTGTGTAGCGGATTGCTACCTTATTCTCGAACATGTAGCGGATTGCTACCTTCGTAAAGCCTTGACTCAGAAATCTCTATGGCAGATTCTCCAATATCTAGCCAGACTCTCAGAACCAGCCAAGCTATAGCCCAGCTATAAAGGAAACAAACGTGTAACACGGAGCACGTTTATTCAGTGGGTATGTCGTGAATAAAGTGTTTACAGGAAGGAAACCAGTCATACGACATGGCGGATTTGGTAAAACAAGTGAAGGCCCTTGAGCTGCTATTGGCTGCGTGCTCTTGTCCTTAATCCGTATGCGAAATTGTACGGCCGCACCTCAAGACTATGTTTACGCGCATGCGATGACGTGTCCCACAATTGCACTCTTTAAGTTCACCTTATTGCCATTAAATATTTCCAAATTAAATAATACAGAATAACCTTGGTGTCTTTTGCAATAAATTTATTGCCTTCTAAATAAGCAGCGTTGATTGGAACTTCAGCAGTGTATACCACACTCTACTGGTTATATTGGTACACGGGTGGATCAAATTCGGTCAAATTATTTTCTATTTTCTATTGTAATCAAATGAGATCGAATTTTCGAAGACTTAGGATATTTCACTACCAAATATGTCAAGAGTTATAGACAAACGATAGAAGGTTTTGCTTCTACAAAATTTTAAAGTCCATGAGTGAACATTTTGTCCATATATTGAAACTATCTTTGATGGTGTTTAAGTAATAGCATGTTTTACTTCAGTGGAGAGGAACCAGAAGAAATAAATGCAAGTTATTGAATTGCTTCGATAAGACAAATATGCTGAATTCGCATTAAACTCGGAATAACCTTTCAGGCATAATTGAGTTTACACCGTTAGCTATCCAATCTCGGCTGGCATAAGTAAAAAAATTTATCCGCATTTCATATTGCGAACATTTGTTTATTTATTTCAACTGTCAGGCATTTTGTTAATTATTATTAGTCCTTTAGCTGACTTTAGGCTTCACAGAGGAGGAGGGGGAGCGTCAAAGTAACAGAAAGTCGAGAGAGAGAGGGGGGGGGGACAGAATAATGATTCGCAGATGTAAAAGAGACAGACAGGCACAAATGTAAGGCAAGATCTGCTGAAATGGTGGAATATGGCATACAGTGGGGTGATAGTAGTTAGAAGTCAGAAGTCAACTGCCAGTTTATAGACTTTTGGCCGTATGAGTATACGTTGCCCAATGTACATCACGTGGAGGTAAGTCTATCGCACACCCCATATTGCGAACTTGAATTTGCTCAAAACCCGAGAATGAAACATGGAGTTTGAATCATGAAATTGAATTAATTTTCACGAAAACAAAGTTTGCAACTAAAATTTTAAAAATTAAATGAAATACTAATTTTTGTTGCTATTGTTATACCCGCAGCATCTTTCACTTTCTCAGAATTTTTAATGATTTGAGCTATTTATGAGACAAACAAAATTTACAAAGTCGGCAATAGAAAATTATAAAAGTAAATTCACATTTTTCCAGAAAAATAAAAAGCAGGGTATGAAATATGGGGATAAATGTGAAAATGTGGATACCGATGACAACGTAGAATAAATGATTATTTATGATATTTCTTTCTCAATGAAGTCGTTCATATCATTTCATGATCACCCAGATTCTGGTAGGTTTTTTTTGAAGAGGCGTAGTACAATAATTTTCTGCTTAAGTAGAACACAGTTTTAAGTTAACATCAAAGTGGTAAAACCCGCCAAATAAGTTGAGAAAAGTGTTTCTCAGAACACACCTTCGGTGGGGAAACAAAGGCGAATCCTTTCAGGTGAGAAACACAAATTTTTCCACACGCCTCATGAGAGAGTTAATTAGGCATTCCATCAAATGTACACCCTCATAGGGATTTTGAACTCATGGCCTTTAACTTTGCAGAAAAAGGCAACGCGATCAGTGCCGGTGTTAAAACCATTTGACTTGGTTGGATTGAAAGTATCTTTGGATCGCTTCTTCGAGGAATTCTCGAACAACAACTTCCCTTTTGGATATAAACAAATAGAAAAAATGCTTGCACAAATAGAATTTAATGTTATTTGATGCAACTCATTTTTTACCTTTTAACATACGCATGAACTGCTTTCAAGTGCAAGCTAAAAGCTTATTGATTATCGATTTTAACTCGTCTCTTCCACTAAACCCAATTTTGACTGCCTAATCTGAAACGCGGCGATCACGCAACTTGCTGCGCAGAAGCTGGGTTTTCATATTCTCTCCATACCCCTTCACTCTTATTCAGTATCATTCTTCTACTCTCCCGTAAGTTCTACCTTTATGATTCCACCTACTTACTCTTAGTAACTGTGGACTGCTTATATCTGTTAGTCTTCCCTCCTGTAAATCTTGAAGCGCAAACTTTCAGAATTGAATGTCATTCGATGGCATATTTGAAGTTGTATGGAGGTGGCCGAGTTTCTTTCACTAATTTGAAATCTAACTGCACTAGCTAGGATTTCTCTTCGCGTATTCGCCCTGAAGAGCAATCCACTTACTTTCCTAAAGTTGTGCTTCTTTTAAATTTTATTTTTTTAAAAAAATCAAATTTAAATTTTGATAGAAACGTCGATCACAGATTGAGCGAAACTCACTTAACTAGTTTTCCTTTAACTATTGACTAATCAGTGTTGGAAAACATCTAATTGGTTAAAATAGAGCGTTAAATAGGAAAGTTATTCATTTGCCGTCATTTTGGGCCTTTTCGGTGTTTTTGCGCTAGGAGTTCCCATATGCAGATTTCCGATTCGACGAGAAATTATAGTCAAACCGATAATCGAATGACACAAAATGTCCGCTCAGCAGCAGGAGTGGAAGCTTTATCTGACAATCAGGACCACAATAGATCACTTGTAGAAGTTGAGGCTGAGAATGGAGCTCAGATAGCAACTTCGAAACAAGTTAAGGAGGGTACTTCAAATTCAAATAATGTTGTTAATGAACAATCTGCACCAAATAAACAGACCAGAAAGTCTAAAAGTGAGTTATTTAATTATTCATTTTAAATTGCCCTCCAAGTGAAAATGGTTGGATGTTTTACAATTTACTTTTCCTAAAAAAATTTCGAAAGAAAAAGAAAAGAATAAATTCAATAAGACCATCGACTTACCCTTGGGGAAACCGAAGGGGAAGTACATATTTTCTTCAAGTTCTGAGTGCCCGAATTCGCAGAACATTAGAAATCCCTCTTATTCCGGGCCTCGTCAAGCTTCAGTAGAGGTGCGAATGGGAGAACAGCAGATCATTCGAAATCCGCCCTCTTTTAGCACTCGTTCTCCAACAGGTCATCCTCGAAGTCGGCATTATAGAAGAAATTTAGAACGACCCAACTATCAAGGAACTAGTAATCAAGTTCCACAGTGTGTAGCTGTACCGAATGTTGATCTGCCAGCAGCAGGGAACTCAATCGTATCAAATCGAGTGGTTCATACGGCAACGCACCCAACTAGAAATCAGAAGAGCAGTTCCTCACACTCGAGAGGTAAGTCAGCACTCCAAATTTTGGCCCATTGCCTGGCATGTAGTGCATGCCTTTTAACTCTACTTTTGGAATCCAATTATTTTCAAACTCAAACTGTATACCAACCATAACTACTGCTAACTACTCGTATTAATTTTCGAGAGTTTTTAGCCACTTTTAGATTTTTCAATAATCCTGATATGAAGCCAATAACAGCAGATGAGCTGGTCAAACGGATGAATGAGTATCATGGAACAATGCAAGCGACAGAGGCCTTCCGAAAAGAAGAGATTGTCAAAAGAGCTATCAACTCTGCTAACTTGCGTCATCTTTATTCTCGCCTTGAAATCATAAATCGAGATAGTAGAGATAGATTAATTGTTATTGGAGAGGAGGTATATTTATTCGTTAAGAGAACTCTTGTGAAATATTTAAATCGAAGAGATTTTATCGACCGTTATTTGTAGGTCACCTTTTCTACTTTTAGT